CTTTATGGATTGTCTTCACAGAAATGAGAGCTAGGTGAGCTAATGTTTACGCTTTCTTCACTTTTTTTCATTCTTTTTCTTTTTTGTTTCTGACTTGATAATGTCAAATGACCTGTCTTTGGGTTCACTAAGTATTCTGCTTGATCAAGACTGCTGTTGATCCTCTTTAGTGAATCTGTGTATTTTAGCTCCAAAATTTGTTTGGTTCTTTATAGAGCTTCTGTCTGTTAAATTCTTATTTTGCTCATGCATTGTTCTCCTAATTGCATTTAATTGTTTTTCTGGGTTATCCTTTATAGTGCTGAGTTTCTTTAAGATGATTATATTGAATTCTTTGTGGATAATTCTTAGATAATTGTTTTTTGGGGGATTGATTCCTGGACATTTTGTTTTCCCTTGATTGATCCATGTTTCTCTGTAACATGTGCCTTGTTACTTTGTTGCTGTGATTTTTGCATTTAGAACAGCAGCCAGCACCGCCCCCCCGCCCCGCCCCCGCCCCCCCCCCAAAAAAAGGAAAGAAAAGGATGTGTGCCATCTAGTGGCAGTAACTAAAAGCACAGCCCAATGCTTAACTAAAGATTTCCCTTTTCCTAGTCAAGGAACTCAATGAGGTTTTCAGTAGTGTTTTGCTACTTTTAGAAGTAGGTGTGGGAGTTCACTAAGGGAAATAAAATTACAATGTCTAGAGCTGGATAGCTGTGTAAGGAAACATACCAAATTGGATCCATTCTTTCTACACTGGATGAATTTCAAATTTAAGGACTGGTAGTGGTGGCTCACGCCTGTAATCCCAGCACTTTGGGAGCCTGAGGCAGGCAGATCACCTAAGATCAGGAGTTCAAGACCAGCCTGGCCAGCATGGCGAAACCCCATCTCTACTAATAATACAAAAATTAGCTGAGTGTGGTGGCATGAACCTGCAGTCTCAGCTGAGGAGGCTGAGGCAGGAGAATCATTTGAACCCAGGAGGTGAAGGTTGCAGTGAGCAGAGGTTGCACCACTGCACTCTAGCCTGGGTGACTGAATCTCAAAAATAAAAAAAAGTTCCAAGTTTAATATGGATCAGAATCTAATATTTAAAAAGAAGACATAGCAGTACTAGAAAATTAAGTGCTAGAATTCACAAGAGTCAATTCCTTTATAACTCAGGAGTGGGGAAAATACTCCTATCTATGATCAGAATTCAGAAGCTTTAAGGGAAGAGATTAACCATAATTTAAACAAACAAAAAAGCAAAGTCTAAAAACAAAGGCAAAAAGTCTAAAAAAAATGCAACTTATATCATGAGGGACTAACATATAAAAAGTAAATTTTTTTAAAGACCATCCTAAAAGAAAGTATGTGAAAGATAGACAATTGAAATAAAAAGAAGTACAAATTGCCCTTAAACTGGTGAAAAGATTGATTTATTGCACTGCTTTCCATTTTAAAAGTTGCATTTACATTTTATTATTATTATTATTTTAGATGGAGTCTCTCTCTGTCGCCCAGGCTGGAGTGCAGTGGCATGATCTCAGCTCACTGCAACCTCTGCCTCCTGGGTTCAAGCGATTCTCCTGTCTCAGCCTCCTGAGCATCTGGGATACAGGCATGCATCACCATGCCCAGCTAATTTTTGTATTTTTAGTAGAGACGGGGTTTCACCATGTTGGCCAGGCTGGTCTCAAACTCCTGACCTCAAGTGATCCACCATCCTCGACCTCCCAAAGTGCTGGGATTACAGGCATGAGCCATGGTGCCCCTCCTTATTTTGTATTTTAAACATGTTACACATTTATAGGATTCCAAGTTTATATATAAAACAAGATATATTCAGAGAGGTCTAGTTTCAATTCCTTTCTCCATCATCTGTTCTTGATCATCTCCCATTGTTTACCATTTGTATTAAAGTGTGGTTTACCTTTCTATTGCTTATTTTTGAAAATATAAGTGAGTTCCATTTGTATATGTATCTCTAACACCCCGTATACCAAAGGTTGCATACTATGTACACTCTTTCGTGCCTTCCTTTTTCACTTCATTTCATAGTCATGTATCTTCCATATTCCTTAACAGCTTCATAATACTTTGTTGTATGCATGTATCATTTGAAAACATGTTCCACTTCATTCACAAAAAGCTATATACAAAACTATACTGAAAGCCAGGTGCAGTGGCTTATGCCTGTAATCCCATCACTTTGGGAGGCTGAGGCAGATGGATTGCTCGAGGTCAGGAGTTTGAGACCAGCCTGGCCAACTTGGTGAAACTCAGTCTCTACTAAAATTATAAAAATTAGCTGGGCGTGGTGGTACTTGCCTGTGGTCGCAGCTACTCGGGAGGCTGAGGCAGGAGAGTCGCTTCAACCCAGAGGCAGAGGTTGCAGTGATCCAAGACTGCATCACTGAACTCCTGCCTGCGCAACAGAGTGAGACTCTGTTTAAAAAAAAAAAACAACCTACCCCCAAAAACAACTAATACTTAGATAACATTTCCCACCTATCCATTTAGCAAACGTCTAGGAGTTTGACAATTCATGCTCTTGGAGAGGCTGCAGAGAAACAGGAAACACTGCTGGTGTGAATACAAAATTGCACAACCCCTATGAAGGGGAATCTGGTAGTATTAAACAAAATAACATGTTATTTTACCCTTTGACCTAACAATTCCATTTATAGAAACCTATGCTAAAAACCCACTGGCAAAAGCATGTTATATATGCACAAGGAACCTGTTGTAATAGCAAAAGACTGGGAATCATCCACATATCACTAGTAAGGGCCTGGCTAAATAAACTACAGTAAATCCATATATAACCAAAAAGAATTATGTCCAGTTCATTTAAAACATAGTATCTTGACTGTACATCCCTAGTTGGATACAGTTTTAGACAAAGAAAAGCACATGCAATGTTAAACTTATCTGTCTAATGTTAGCCATATCACTATAGTTATTCTGCTTTTAGTTATTTATCCTGTTATTGCTATTAGTTATTATTAGTATATACCTGTTAGGTAGATGAAGCAAATAAGCTTTATGTTAATATCATTAAGAACCAATATTTTCATTGCCTCCTTGTGTGTAGAAAACAAAGAACCAATAATTTCATCTTAAGAGAAAGGAGACAAAAACCAAAGAGCTCAGCTTTAAAAAAGGATTACGTCGTAGAAGAAGACACAACATTGAAGATTGTCATGGGTCTTTACGAAAAGGAAATTTGAGAAGGCTAAAAACCCAGAACAGTGTGCAGTCTGGGGAAGGGATGAGGCTAAAGAGAGTGTACACAATTTTTTTTTTTTTTTTTTAGACAGGCTTTCGCTCTGTCGCCAGGCTGGAGTGCAGCGGCGCGATCTCGGCTCACAGCAACCTCCGCCTCCCGGGTTCAAACAATTCTCCTGCCTCAGCCTCCTGAGTAGCTGGGACTACAGGCGTGCGCCACCATGCCCAGCTAATTTTTGTTATTTTTAGTAGAGACGGGGTTTCACCATGTTGGCCAGGATGGTCTCGATCTCTTGACCTTGTGATCCGCCCGCCTCGGCCTCTCAAAGTGCTGGGATTATGTCTGAAGCAAGAAGAAAAGACAAGGAACAGGTTCAGTTTCATCTCTGATACACCGTTTCTTGCTAAAATTGATGTTTCTTTCTGCAGGCATTTTCTTTCTGAATGATGGTCACTCAGAAAGAAAATGCCTGCAGAAAGAAACATCAACCACTCAGCCATCCACCTACACTTTCTACCGAGTCAATTTATACTAATTCTTCAGCTCAGTTAATCACTGGTACGTTTCCCCTCCCTAGTCAAGGATCTTTTATTATACCCTATCATCGAATCATATTCCTTTCCTTAGTGCACTTCTCTCAATTGATAAGTGCCCCCATTAATGTAATTACTTGATTAATATCTGCCTCCCTTTCCTCTTCCAGGGCCGAAATTCTGCCTGGTTTTGCTCATCCTATAGTATACAGCAGGAGTTCAATAAACATTTGTTAAAGCAACAAATTCAACTTCCATTTTGTTCTCATCTCTTCACTCAGACTTTTCTTTGGATTAGGAAGGGTAAAATACCCGAAGACTTGAACTCCAAAAGAAACAAAATGATTCTATACAAACGTTTCCTACTTAAAACTCTTTTCATTGGGCAAATATTCCTTTAGCCCCTGGCACTATTTGGTAATGGGAATACAGCAGTGTATATGGCAGATGAAGTTCTGTTGCTGCCCTTTCCATGTTTACGTGGAGGTGAGATGCAGTGGTAGTAAATGTATACTATATTGTCTGTATTTAAATCGAGGCCATCTCTTCCTCCCTAAATCCCGCCTTGGGATATCTTGATGGGATCGCTGATGTTTCAGAACGCAAAAGCATCTCAGGGCGTTTGCAGTGGCGCAGGTCAGCAAGATAACCAAGCCCAGCAACGTCTGGACCGGAAGCTGGGCCCCTCCGCGTCTCCAGACTCCAAATCCCCCTGAATGAACCTTCTGCAGCTGCCGCCTCCCGGAGACTTCGCATTTCTTCCGCACTCTCCTCTCGTGACGGGTCTTCTTTGTTGTACTTAATTTCCTAGGCAATAAGATTTCAGCATCACCATCAGTCCCCTCAAACAAAGACCAATTCCCACAGCCGAAGTTCCCACCAAAGGCCATGAGATAGGGTAACTAAAATCAGCGTTTAGGAATCCTGACTCAAATTGTCTCATATGGCGTTCCGTAGAACAGATTCGCGAAAGAGGGCCTTCAGCGACAGCTTTACTCGGAAAAACAACGGGAATAAGGTGTCTATTACATTTCCTCAAATACTGTGTAGGGTCTGAGGCGCAGGTCAGGTGTATTTAAATAGCCTTTAAACAGTATTCCTCCGCCCCAAAAACTGGCCTTGAAAGAACAAATGAAACTTATCCTGTTTTTCACGTTTGCTGGTTTTGCCCGTTACACCCCTTCGTCTGCACCTACCTAAACAGGCAGCTCCTGGCCACCCTCCTGGGTCCTGATTTTGAAAAGAGCAGTGGACCAATCAGATACGGAGCGCTGTTTGGCTCTGCCATTTGAGCCTGGGCTGAAACTGCGGGTGTGACGGCCGCGGTGGCTCAGGGTGTCTGCGGAGGAGCTGGGGGCGGAGGCATGAGGCTAACGGCTTGGCTTCAGTAAGCGCACCGCGATGTACAGGCCAGGAGCCAGAGGCCGGCTGATGGGGGAGGGAACGAACCGCCTGTGAGACGGGGTGACGGCGGCGACCAGCCCGGGCGGGCACCGGGACTGGAAGAGTTGCCTGAGCAGCCGGCTGGCCCGGCAGCCAGGCTAGGGCGGGGGCGAGCGCCCAGCTGAGCCTGCTAGGGCTGGAGGAGCGAGAAGGGTCCTCTTCACATTTCAGAGCGAACCAGACGGGGACGGTAGGTTTGGAGGAAGGGGGATCGTTGGAGGTAGCCGGAAGTGGTGAGAATCTGGCTATAGGCGAGGAACCGAAAGAATCAGAAAGGGAAGTCTGTGTGAGTAGCTGAAAGGATTGGGTGACCAGAAAGAAGGTCGGTGTAAGTGAAGGAAGAGTGAGGTGTTGCTGGATCAAAGGGCTAAGAGAAGAGGGTCTGCGTAAGTGGAAGTAAGTGAGGATCAAGGAAAAGCAGTGGAAGTGGCCAGGGGTCGGGGCTGCAGGAGTGCCAGACGCGGCCGGAAGGCAGGCGAGAGGAATTCAAAATTGAGAGCGTGTGGAAACTAGAAGACTTGGTGGCGAACAAGGGTCAGGACCCGTATCCTGTCTCAGAGAGTAGTCGACGTGTCCGGGATGTGGGATCAGAGGCTGGTGAGGTTGGCCCTGTTGCAGCATCTTCGGGCCGTCTATGGCATTAAGGTCAAGGGTGTCCGTGGGCAGTGTGATCGCAGGAGACGAGAAACAACAGCCACGGAAATAGGGGTAAGTTCTGTGAAAGGGGATTTAGGTTTAAAAGAAAGGGCACACACTTCATAATCACTTACTGTCAGGTCATGCTGAAATGAAATGTTCGCACTGTATCAAAAAGAGAATGATTCGATGTGTAATTCAGTTCAGATGGTCAATTGCTGGTATTTAAAAAGTGGCGTTCTTGATTTTTTTCCAAGGATTTTTGATCATTGAGAGAAAGTTGCAGGGTTTTCCAACCTCAGCACTGTTGACATTTTGGATTAGATAATTTTTGTTAGGGGGAAGAGGATATGCTGTTCTGTGAATTGTGGGATGCTGAGCGGCATGTCTGGCTTCTACCTACTAGATGCTGGTAGCATCTCTCAGTTGTGACAATTAAACATGTCTCCAGATATTGCCAGTTTACTGTGTTTTGAACAGGTAGTACCTACTCCTCCATCTTTGTTATAGAGTAAGGTTTGTAGAGGGACAAGGGAGACCAGTGCATTTTCTAGATGAATCCGTAGATGATGAAGTATGACAGAACATTAATAGACTTGAAATGATAACTGCATATTCACTAATTTGAGAGACAAGTTCAGTGCTTGGTCATGTCATACTTCTGAGATAGCTTTTTTTTTTTTTTTTTTTATTTTAATGTGAGTAAATTGAGAAGCCAGAGTGGAATGATTGAAAAGTTGTTGGTGTTTTGGTGGTTTAGGTAAAGGGATTTTGAATGAGATTTTAATAGCTCTGTCGCATAATCAAGAATTTCATTGTGAAAAATAAGCTGAATGTAAAGGATTTTAAATGTATGTGCCTAATTTATATGGTACTTCCTAGTATTTGGAGACAGGCTAATAAAATTAATATATATTGCTCTTAATAGTTTAAGCATTCTAAAAAATATGCTTGGAGAAGAAAACCACCAACAAAAGTAATGTGTGTACCTCTTATTAGCCAATAAACTTTGGAGAAATTATTTTTGTTGGTTGCAAAGTAATGGCAATACATGTACGTATATTTAAAAAGCTACAGTGATTTCTTCTGATTGTAAAACTGGCTTTCCAAGATCTCAAATGCACCTGATTTTGTAAGTATATGGAAGAGTTTGTATGTGAACTTTTTTTTAACCCCTTAACAAGGAAAACTGATGCCTGCTTTTAGAGTCAAATAGTCCTGAGTTTCAGTCCTGTTCCAGCCCTACTACATCTGTAAACTTGGGCTGCTTGTTTGATTTCCCTAAGCTTCAGTTTTCTATTTATAAGGTAGGAACAGTGGGATTTCTTCTTGGATTGTTTAGGGATTTTTAAAAAGTGAAGGTCTTTATATAGGCCTAGCACAGTGCCTGTCACATGCCACTGACAACCAGTGGTCTGCCTCCTAATTGGTAATCATGCTATATAAATTCAGCTAGAAAAACTTATAAGAATATTCTAATGAAGAAATATAGAAAATCATTGTGTTATGAGATCTAATGGGATAGGTAATTTGTTTGACAACAATTTTTTTAGCCCTTTGGTGTTTGTTAACTAATTGTAATTTTTGAGCTTTTAAATAAAAGTACTTTATAAACCTTTTTTTAAATGATACTGTAGGTGATATTCTATACATGAGGTTTTAAAAACATGGCATTAAAGCCAGTTATTTTAAATAAGACAAGGAAAAAAAAACATGCCGAATTCTAGTTATATATAACAGAAGTAGACTTATCAGCTTAAGCATCTGATTTATTTTTGCATTTGTTTTGGTTGCACAGTATCAAGAAAATTCTGATTTACCCAATAAAGGGGTTGCCCATGTAATATATTTTAAATAGCTCAGCTTAAAATGATAATCATAATGTTAACAAATATTTTTCAAATGCTTATTCTGTGTTAGACACTGATAGAAGTGTTTTTTGCATGTTTTGATTCATTTAGTTCTTCCTACACCTCTTCTGCATAGGATCTGTGTGAGGCTACTGAGGGACAGAATGTTAATTTGGTCCAGATCATTCAGCTGATACAAGAGGCAAGATTTAAAACCTGGCGTTTTTGCCTTTAGGAACCTACTCTTAAGTACTCATTATGCCATACTGTCTTTTCACCTTACAATATTAGGGAATTAGTAAAATTTTGTTACTGTGTTGTGTCATTAACAATGCTGACTGATTTTTATTGTAAATATAAAGTTAAATAAAATGCTCTTAATACATAAATCCTTCTTGCTTGATAACTTGTGACATCAAAAAATAATAACAGCATTCACAGAGCAGAGGCATGTAAACTAAATTAACATGTGAGATTATGCATGTCCACTTAATTTTGAATAACCAGACATTTACAGGTTTGAATTTACCTTTCAGTGCCTTGCAAAACTGCAGCCTTCTTAATTGGTGACCCATTTTTAAGAAGTTCGAATGTATGCACAAAGATAGTGGCAGATTCTTTATTCTTGAGTGTGCAAAATCATTCAAGTTAACCAACACACAGTTTTACTCTTGGGATCTTCAATGTATTAAAATTTGAATGGGAGGTTTTAAAAATGGGTTTCCAGGTAGTAAAGTTTGACTTAAATATTTGTGGTCGCCTGCCTTGCTTACCTCAGGGCATGGTTTGAAAAGCTCTCTTCTATTGAAGGTGGAAAATGTATTAGGTATGAAAATAACCTCTTCTGATGTAATTTTAGGAAGACTTAATGAGTGACAGGAATTACTGTTTTGTTTTTCAGTTGACTTAGCCTTTTGTGTAACTATAAGAAGACCAAAGAAAATATATAGTCGGTGTTTATAAGGTCATTAAAGGAATGTATAGTATTTTGGGGAAAATGTTAGTGTTTTAGACCAAATTCTGTTTTAAGAATTTACTAAGCACTAACCAAATTAGTTTTTTATGATCAGATTGGAAACTGAGTTTACAAGATTATTTGAGGGGAATGACATTATCTTGGTCATATAGGTATTCCCTGCACTTAGCATGCTAATGTAGTAATTGTTATCAAATGCACTTGAAATAATTGCTTTTGTCTTGATTGATAGTTATTTATTTCTGATTTCTTTATTTCCTGGGGTCTTTAATTTGCCTAAAGTTTAAGAAAACTGATATTATGCCTAATATTTGTGTTAGAGTAACCGAATTTGTCATTTTAGGGTAAAATATTTGGAGTACCTTTTAATACACTGCCCCATTCTGCTGTACCAGAATACGGACGCATTCCAAGGTAAGCAGAGTTTGAAATCAAGAAGGCTGGGTACAGTGGCACATGCCTGTAACCCCAGCATTTTGAGAGGCTGAGATGGGTGGATCACTTGAGTCCAGGAGCTCAAGACCAGCCTGGGCAACATGATGAGACCTTGTCACTACAAAAGATAGAAAAATTAGCTGGATGGTACACACTTGTAGTCCCAGCTACTTGCAAGTCCGAGGTAGGAGGATCGCTTGAACCCAGGAGGTTGAAGCTGTAGTGAGCTGAGATTGTACCACTGCTTTCTAGCCAGGCAAATGAAGGAGAAGAGACTAAACATTTTAAACTGGTTTTAGAGGTTTTAAAAAGAAATAATTGATTAAAACATACTTGTTTAAAACCAGCAAATGATTTTATCTCTCATTAGCTAATGTTAAATTTTTTTTAAATTTTATTTTTTTGTAAAAATTTACCTGCCAAAGTCTCATCTGAATTTTTTTTTAACTTTTACATATTTTAAATTTAAAATTCATACTGATTCTCAGGATTGAATTTTAAAGTCTAATAATGAGTAAATGTTAGAAATCACAAATAATTTTTGTTCTGTCAAGTCAATTTTTAGTTCTGTAAGAATTCTTTTGTCACAAGTCAGATTAAGTAATTACTGAATTACTAGTTAAGTAATAATTTTGACTTTTTTTGTTGTTTGTTTAAAAAAGATAGGCCAGGCACAGTGCCTCAGGCCTGTAATCCCAGCACTTTGAGGGCCAAGGTGGGAGGATTGCTTGAGCCTAGGATTTTGAGGTCAGTCTAGGCAACAAAGCAAGATTCCATCTCAACAAAAATCTAAAAGAAAAATCAGCTGGGCAAAGTGGTGTGCACCTGTAGTCCCACCTACTCATGAAGCAGAGGCAGAGGATCGCTTGACCCCAGGAGTTTGAGGCTGCAGTAAGCTATGATCATTGCCACTGCACTCCAGCATTGTCAACAGTGTGAGACCCTGTCTCTTGAAAAGAAAAGAAATATTGATAAAAGAATATTTAAGCTAAGATATTAGAGTATTTTTGAAAATATGGTATCACTTAAATAACTTTTTGTTCCCTTTTTTTTTTTTTTTGGAGACAGAGTTTTGCTCTTGTTGCCCAGGCTGGAGCGCAATGGTGTGATCTTGGCTCACTGCAACCTCTGCCTTCTTGGTTCAAGTGATTCTCCTGTCTCAGCCCCCCAAGGAGGTGGGATTACAGATGCCCGCCACCATGCCCAGTTAATTTTTGTGTTTTTAGTAGAGATGGGGTTTCATTATGTTGGCCAGGCTGGTCTCAAACTCTTGACCTCAGGTGATCTACCTGCTTCGACCTCCCAAAGTGCTAGGATTACAGGCATGAGCTACTGTGCTGGCCTATTCTAACTGCATTAGAAATTAGTAAGAAAGTTATGTTTTAAGACTATAATTTTAAAATGCGTTTGATGAAACTTATCACTTGATTATTTTCCCCTCCACCTAAAATAGGGTTCATTTTGGCTACTATAGACCCATAATCTGGGTTTTTAATTGAAGTGTCACCCAAAAGCAGTTATTGAACACATTGCTGCCTTAGGACAGTTTTCTGCCATTCATCCTATAGGTGTAGATTCATAGTTGTCTTAGATCACCACTTAACCATTTTGCTCTTTAAATTACCTATGAAAGGCTTGATTTTCTTATAATGAAAACCTATAATGATTTTCAACAGGCTGGGCACAATAGCTCATGCCTATAATCCCAGCACTTAGGGAGGCTGAGGTGGTAGATTGCTTGAGCCCAGGAATTCAAACCAGCCTGGGCAACATGGTGAGACCTTGTCTCTACAAAAAATAGAAAAATTAGCGGAGCATAGTGATGTGTGCCTGTAGTGTCAGCTAGTTGGGAGGCTAAGGTGAGAAGATCACTTGCACGCAGGAGGCAAAGGTTGCAGTGAGCAGTGATCGCACCACTGCAGCCTGGGTGACAGAGTAAGACTCTGTCTCAAAATAAAAACAAAAACAAAAATATTTAGGAAAAAAAACAAAACAGATGTTCAGCATCTGGAATTGCAAAGTAATATTCCCAGGAATAACAACTAAATGTTCATTGTAATTTCATGACCTACTTATTTATTTAAGAAGACTATTTTGTCAGTTACCTTCTGTAAACAGGGCTGACATTCAGCCACTGTGCACCAGTACAACTGTATCAGTTGTTTGTAGCTGATACTCATTCTAATTTGTGGATCCCAGCTGTTCTTCTATGTATCTAAAGCCACCATTGATTGAGGTTATTGTTGAAAATAAAGAAATTGAGCACATTCCCCTTAATATGAAAAGGCTTGTAAGGATTCGGATATATTCTGCTTCTATGAGAGATAATGTTGGGGTGAGGGAGAAAAAACCTCACCCTGTTTTTGGACAACATAGGAGCTGAGAAGATCACCCTTGGAGAGATAGTAGATAAAAGAAGGCGTTAGACGGAGCCCTGAGTTGTCCAGCATGTACAGGTCTGGCATAAGAGGAGTGAGAAAAGAAGTTTGAGAAGGAGCAGTCAGGGAGATAGCAGGACAACTAAAAGAACAGTGAGAAAGAGTATTTTTAAATGAACAGGGAAGGGACCAGGTGTGTAGATCAGTCAATAGAAGGACAACGTTTTGACTGTGGATTTGGCAAGGCAGAGGCCATTAGTGAGCTTGAAGAGAGCTATTTCTTTGGAGTAATGGGGGATGAGAATGATTGGAGAAGGGTCAATAGAGACTGAGATATCAAGAAGTAGAGGCAGCCAAAAAAGACAAGTCTTATACTCTGAAGGGAAGAAGAGAAATGAAGTAGAGTTGAGAAAGATCAAATTTAGTGGGAACATTGGTGTTGTTATGAGTAAAAAGATTAACCTTTGAGAAGAATTTGGGAAGCAAGTAGACAATTAAAAGTAACATTTTGTCTCAAAGACTACAGGGATTTGTGGCTTTAGAGCTTCTGAAAGGTGCGTAGTGCTTGGCCTGCTCATGTATGTTAGGAGAGGAATAGGGTTTGATAAGATGTTTATCTAGCCACCTGAAAAAAATCTCTTTCAGCTTTCTTGTCGATGCTTGCACATCTTTGGAAGAACATATTCATACAGAAGGGCTTTTTCGGAAATCAGGATCTGTTACTCGCCTAAAAGCGCTAAAGGTAAGCTTATTGTTGAACTATCATTTTTCTTTTGAACCATTTTCTCATTTGGTTTTTAAAATTGAAATATTTAGAACTATTATATGAGTAGTTGACAGAAATTGAATTTGCATATTTTCATGGTAGAACAATTTTTTTCCCAAAAGAAATGGTATATTATTTCTGTTGTGCTGTAAAATTTAATAGAATAATTTTAAATTCATGGTGCTTATTTCTATAAAGTATTATGTAAAATGAAAAAATTTGTTAAGTTGTATTGTTTTTAGCCTTCTAGAAGGAGCTGTACAGCTGAGTGTGGTGGCATGTGCTTGTAGTCCCAGCTACTTGGGAAGCTGAGGCAGGAAGATTGTTTGAGCCTGGGAGTTGAAGCCAGCCTGGGTCACATAGTCTGCATTACATTTGTACAAAAATAAAAATAAATTTAAAAATCATTAAAAATAAAAAGTAATGACATATATTAAAATAAGATTTAAGAGAAATGTATTAAAACTCTCTAGAGTGTTAACAAAAGATACTTTATTCACAGTAAACTCTTAAGTTGCCATAATATTCAAGATTATTATATTTATTTCAGAATAAACTGGATCATGGTGAAGGTTGCCTATCTTCTGCACCTCCCTGTGATACTGCAGGACTTCTTAAGCAGTTTTTTAGGGAATTACCAGAGCCCATTTTCCCAGCTGATTTGCATGAAGCACTTTTGAAAGCTCAACAGTTAGGCACAGAGGAAAAGAATAAAGCTACACTGTTGCTGTCCTGTCTGCTGGCTGACCACACAGTTCATGTATTAAGATATTTCTTTAACTTTCTCAAGAATGTTTCTCTTAGGTAAGTGGTAATTAAAACTCTTGGCAAATAATAGTTGAATTTTTCAACTAACTAATGTTTTATGCTTGTGGATGGAAATTTTTCTTTAAAAATTACATCTTTACTGTAAGGCATATACTCTGTATAATTTAAGAAATAACATACCAGTGATTTAATATTTTCTTAAAGTCATCATTATGAATGCCTTAATGGCTCATTTGTGTTTATAAGATTCATTGTCTACTGAAAGCCTTTGATTACTGGGTTTTTTTTAATATTTGTGTTTTGCTTTTCAAAATTTCCCTCTCCCTGCTGTCAGTGAGCCTGCTTACTCTAGACATACTTGCTGACTCTGATACATCCAGCTTTTTATGTGTAGGTTTGAAGCTCAGATAAAGATGTTCGATTTGTATGGAAAAGCATAGTATGAACTCTTAAGATTGTCGGGGTTTTTATAATACATATTTAAATACAGGGAGGCTATATATGTCTAGTTCTTTCTTGTGTTCACGCCAATCATGCAGATGAAGGATAACTATTTTGACTTGTGTCTGACTGATAGAGGTCTTCAGAATGTACTACATATGTTATTTTAACTCTTATATTTTTACCTTTGGCTCCATCTAATAATGCCTTTATTCACTTAAGATCCAGTGAGAATAAGATGGATAGCAGCAATCTTGCAGTAATATTTGCACCAAATCTTCTTCAGACAAGTGAAGGACATGAAAAGATGTCTGCTAACACAGAAAAAAAGCTACGATTACAGGCTGCAGTAATACAGACTCTTATTGATTATGCATCAGATATTGGTAAGATTTAGTTGCATTATTAAAAGAATTTGTTTAAATGAGGAAGATCTCTGTTTCTTCCAAAGGTACTATGAAGGCAACTGTTATAAAGTTGGTATATTACTGAACTCACCCCCACCCCAGCATACCCACCCCTCCTGCAATTAAAAAAAAAAAAGTTGATAAATTACTATCTAAACATTTTGGGGGAAGAGTGGAGGAAGGATAATAATTGTCTTACTTGTGAATATTTTCATTTAGGACGTGTACCAGATTTTATCCTGGAAAAGGTACCAGCTATTTTGGGTATTGATGGTCTTTGTGCCACTCCATCACTGGAAGCCTTTGAAGAAGGCGAATGTGAAACTCCTGGTGAATATAAGAGAAAAAGAAGGCAAAGTGTAGGTGGTAAGTGGCAGTCCCATTTTATGGAGGTACAGTGATTTGATTTAATCTAAAGTACATTTCACATAAAGAAGCATGAACTGTGGTATATACCTTTTTGATGCTTAGAGCACAGCTGGAAAGATAGGATGTATGCATGTAAAAAGTTAAAGTGATAGTACAGTCTAATATTAAGTGCTAAATCTTTAGCACAAAGATAAAATGTGTTAAAAGGAGAAAAGTTCCCTGGATTGTAATGATCAGGGACTCGTCAGAGAGAGTCAAACTGAACCTTTGGGAAGAATGGATAGAATCTAGGGGGATTGGGTGGAGGATCAGAATACTTTTGTCCTATTCTAGATGAGAAGGATGCTATGAAGAAAGATTTGTTTAGGGAAGAAGTATCCTATGTCTAATGTAGATAGAGTGGTATGACTTGAATGAAGGGTTCAGCATAAGGATAAAGGATGGTAAACATAATGCCAGGCTAAAGAATTAGAATATTAACCTGGGTGCTGGTGAATCATTGAAGATTTATGACGTGAGGCATGATATAATTTTAAATTTTTAGAAAATTATCTGACTTGAAGAATTGAGACTTGAAAGTAGGGAGAATGGTCAGCAATGTGTGTCAGTGGTCTTGGCCTGAGATTGTTGTTTGAACTTGTTGACATGGATTAGTTAGTTAGGAGTATGAAATAAATAATGAAGGAAATTTTATCAAGGAAGAATCAGAAAGACCAAAAGTTTTATGATGGTGGAGTAGATAATAAAACTTGTAATCTCCTTGATCAAGAATTCAAAGGCCATTATTCTTCTAATTACTTTAGGAAATTTCTTATCTTGTGAGTATCAGAACTGAGTATTATTAACTATCCCATACCCTTCTTAATGTTTTGGCTTGTTATTGAATACCCCTGTTTCTTCTTTACCTCCTTTGTAGATAGGATAATACTAATGACTTGTGTATCATCTTCCTAGGGCTACTGTAGCAAAGGACTACAAACTAAGTGGCTTAAACTAATAGAAATTTGTCTCAGTTATGGAGGCTAGAAGTCTGAAATCAAGGTGTTGGCAGAATGCCTGAAACCTGCAGGAGAGAATCCTTTCTTTCCTCTTCCTGGCTCCTGGTAGTGGCTGTCAGTCCTTAGCATTCCTTGGCTGGCAGCTGCATCACTCCCATCCCTGCCTATGTCATTCCATGATGTTGGTCTGTATCAGAGTTTTCCTCTTAGAGGGACACATTGGATTAGTCCCACCCAAATGACCTCATCTTACGTACAGCTGTAAAGACACCAATTCCAAGTACGGTCACATTCCTAGGTACTCGGGGTTAGGACTGACACATACGTTTTTTTGGAGAGCACAATGCAACCCGTAAAACTTCCTATCCCAAATGGAGATATTTCTCAGATGCAGATCATCTTTATTGCCCTCTTTCCCACTCCTGTAGTTTGAGTTATCACATCTAAATAGATGACCACCACATCTGTACCACCGTTACCTTGAAAATGTCAGTTCCACTTTACTAATGGCTTGCTAGATACTATCACATCTGCTTTTCATTGGTGCTTTAAGCTTAACATTTTGAAATGACCATCTCCATCCTCTTTAATCTGGTTCTGTGTGAATTCCATTTTGTTGTCACAGCACCACTATTCCCTAGATACTCAGGCTTTAACCATGGTTCTACCTCTTCCTCTACCGTCTATAATTAGACAGCTTTCACGTTGTATAAGATTCTATCTCCGTAGTGTTTATTGCATCTTTACTGTAAGAATCTTCTTAGTTTTTATGCCTCCTTAAATCTACTCTATGTATTGCTGTTAAGGCTTTTTTTTTTTTTTTTTTTTTTTTTTTTTGGTTGGGGGAGATGGAAGATGGAATCTTGCTCTGTCACCCAGACAGGAGTGCAGTGATGCTATCTTGGTGCACTGCAACCTCCACCTCCTGAGTTCAAGCGATTCTCCTGCCTCGGTCTCCCAAGTAGCAGGGATTACAGGTGCATGCTACCATGCCTGGCTAATTTATATTTTTAGTAGAAACGGGGTTTCACCATGTTAGCCAGGCTGAGCTTGAACTCCTCAGCTCATGTAATCTGCCCGCCTCGTCCTCCCAAAGTGCTAGGATTACAGATGTGAGTCACTTTGCCTGGTCAAGGCTTAACATTTTAAATGTAGAACTCTACTCAAGTATCTCACACACATACCCTTCAGAAATTGTAATTGATAATACTGATATTTATAGCTTGGCATTAAAGGTTTTTCCTAGGATTGCTCTAGTATACCTGTCTACTATTTCTTGTCTTTGAGCAAATTTAGTCGAACTATGTTGTTTATTGTTTTCCAGACTTTTATTCATTTGCTTATACTATTTATTGATATAATGTTTTTACCTCTATTTCTACTGATATTTTAAATAGCTTTATTCCTTCCTCCATTTCCATGGTTCTTGCCTCAGTTCAGACTGTCATCTTTTGCCTTGACATATAATGATTTTTTTCCCTACCCTTACTGTACATTATATATATTTGTATTACATTTCATTCTGTATTTTTTTTGGCGGGGGGATATGGAAGTATAAGTGGGAAATTGAATAAAAATATATCCTTTAGTATTTTTCCTGTTTTGAAATAACTCCTGTCAAATAACTTAAAATGTATAAGCTGATATAAAGTTAGATGTTGAAAGAAGACCACAAATATTAATATGAATTGTTGGTGAAAGACAAGTAAATGTTAACTTGTAATTGCTTATGCCTTGCATTTCAGATTTTGTTAGTGGAGCACTAAATAAGTTTAAATCTAACAGAACACCGTCTATTACACCTCAACAAGAAGGAATTGGTAGGTCTTTATTATATGCATTTATTTAAATGAAAATTTGTGTAGTATTCTACAAAATATAATTACAGTCATGATTACCTACCTTATTTTAGTTAATAATCAAATTTGGTTTAAGCAAATAAAATATTATTTTTAATCTCTATTACTGTACTGTATATACTATGTATGTTGTGACATTGCCAATTACATAGGCTATAATGAACTCAAAATTGTAGGCAAAAATTTTTTTAGTATGTTATTCTTAATCATGCTTTTTTGTCGTTTGTAATTTAGATGCTATCTTGAGCATGTGAAAATAGTTCAACCTCATTTTTATCTTAGGACTAGTAGTTCATTATTATATATTTCATTTTTTTATTCTAATTTCCTTGTGGCTGAAATTATTCAGCCAGTAAGAGGCAACATGATCTTTTGTTTTGTTTTCTAGAGTGAAGAAATGAACTGGTTAATATTCACTTATAATGGAAAGCAAAAATAATACCTAGATTAGTTTCTGTTTCAACTCCTTGATTGTAATTTCATTTTTACATTAATAATCTAATGGGCCGGGCGCGGTGGCTCAAGCTTGTAATCCCAGCACTTTGGGAGGCCGAGGCAGGTGGATCACGAGGTCGAGAGATCGAGACCATCCTGGTCAACATGGTGAAACCCCGTCTCTACTATAAATACAAAAAATTAGCTGGGCATGGTGGCACGTGCCTGTAATCCCAGCTACTCAGGAGGCTGAGGCAGGAGAATTGCCTGAACCCAGGAGGCGGAGGTTGCGGTGAGCCGAGATTGCGCCATTGCACTCCAGCCTGGGTAACAAGAGCGAAACTCCGTCTCAAAAAAATAAATAAATAAATAAAATCATCTTTAATGTATAGCATATGCATCTTTTAGTCTATTAGATTTAGGTAACTGATGTCTCTTAAGAGTCTTGCTTCTGTGACTTCCTTATTTTCATTTAAGTAGTAGTAGGGTGTTTTAGTTAAATGACATCTGTTTAACTGATAATGTAAATATAGCCTCATTTTTTCTTTAGCTGTAAGTAATAGCTTTATAGGAAGAAATTATGTAAAGCTTTTGTATTTTGTCAACTCTGCAGTAGAAACAAGTTGGTTTTGTTTTGGTATTTTTTTCAGCCCAGCTGTCTGTATCACCAGTGATTCTTACACCAAATGCTAAGCGTAAACTGCCAGTAGATTCTTCTCATGGTTTCTCAAGTAAGAAAAGGAAGTCTGTCAAGCACAATTTTAACTTTGAGCTGTTGCCAAGTAATCTCTTCAGTAGCAGTTCTACACCAGTATCAGGTAACAAATAGAATTTATATAAATGGATTGTAAACATTAAAATGAGTACCTATTCTGGGCAAAGTGCAATTTCATATTAATAATACCACCCTTAGGAACTAGAACTTTGTTTTATCAAATTTATGAATTTTTGTAAAACTCCCTGCCTTTTAAAATAGAAACTGTATATATATATATATGTATATGTATATAGTGTGATCATAAAACACATATGTATATATGTGTATATATATGTGATCATAAAACACACACACACACACTATATATATATATAGTGTGTGTGTGTGTGTGTGTGTGTGTGTTTGTTTTATGATCACATCTATTGAAAGTTATGATAACCCAGAGTAGTTTGGGCTTCTGGTGATAGCATTGATGCTTAGGTTTTATGTGAGTAGACATCCTGAATCTCGCTGTAGTTACTTCTGGATCTATAGCTCTGGCTTTATTGCTGTCATTTGTTGAATTGAGGTTGCTGGATGTTTGATCATCTCTGATTCCCAAGTGGGAGTGTTAACCATTGCAGGTTATAGTTTGAAAATGGGACTATTTTTAAAGTTTTAGACTCAAGTACCTTTTGTAAAAACTTTAGAAATTTGTTGGCACTGTTCCTTGTGCCAGATCCCTTACCAGCCCAGCCATTTCCTTCCAAATTAATTGCAGGTTCTAATGTGGCCAACCAGAGCTTTCAGAGAATTAACATAGAGTATGATCATGCTAATCCGAAGACTAGTCTCGGTCTTAGATTGAGTTGGCTCTTAGCATATACAGAATACAAGTTGCCTCATATTAGCCTTATGATCAACCAAAATTGAAATGAAACTCTAAATAAGCCCAGGGCCCTCCATCTCATTTATCTTACATTTAGTCAAAATGTGAGTGATCTCTGATTATTTTAGATTTTTATTTTGTTAGTTTCAGACAATGTTAAAAGTTTCATTTTTAATTCATTATCTGAGTTATATGAGTTCTTCCCAAAAGCCTCTCTTTTCTGTTATCCAAAAGGGTACTTACTTGTTTTATTGAAAAGTTGAATGGAATAGCAACTCGAGGTTTTCAGAAGAAACCACTTCTTCACAGGTTCTCTAGGGCTCATTAAAATGTGGTGATAGTAACTCTGAAGCCTATGTCTGTAGCTTTTTTAGTGTTCACGGGTTGGAGACTTAAACTTTTTTAAGTAACATAGTTCAGTTTTTTCTTTAATATTGAAAAGCCTTTCCAGTTTGGACGACTTTTTCCAAATGGCAAATGGGAATTGTAGTTCTGCCTGCCTTTGCTTATTAGCATTTCATCTTCCCTGAGGAATAAACATGTTGATTCTGTCTTCTCCTCCTCCAAGTTCCCAAAACAGAGGTTAAACATTCTTGTGCGATTTTTAGTTTGAGCTTGCCTAATCAGTAAATTTTCTTTTTAAAAAAATTAAAAAGTTCAACAGTAATCCTATTATTTTTACACCATCTTTCTTTGACCCTACTTTCTTAGCCACAGTTCAACAAATTCCATTTGCAAAATTGAAAATAGGTTGATTTCTAAGTTTAGAGATTTTCTTGTTTATGTGATAAATTTGCATCCTCCCATATATTCTCCTGTGACTATTGACACTTTTTTTTTTTTTAAGACTGAATCTCACTCTCTCCCAGGCTGGAGTACAGTGGCATGATCTTGGCTCACTGTAACCTCCATCTCCCAGGTTCAAGTGATTCTTGTGCCTCAGCCTCCCAAGTAGCTGGGATTACAGGCATGCACCACCATGTCCAGCCAGTTTTTGTATTTTTAGTAGAGAAGGGATTTCACCATGTTGGCCAGGCTGTTTTGAACTCCTGGGCTCAAGCAATCCGTCCACCTCAGCCTCCCAAAATGCTGGGATTACAGATATGAGTCACTGTGCCCAGCCTGACACATTTTTAAAGTGACTAGACTGCAGCCCTAGAATAAAACTACTTATGTCACATTAGATGTATTATATTGTCTTCCAAAATTTTCTTTAGCCAAATGCACCCAAAAGTTACTATAGTAGTTGTATTTTTTTTGTTTTCATAATTGAAAAAACATTCTCTGTTTGAGAAACTTTGTGAATTCTTTATTAATAACTCTGATGAATTGAGAGGGTTCCTGATGGTTGAATGTATCCTGGGTATGATTCAAATGTAAGTCAAGTGTATATGGAGCCTTTGTTCATAACTATTTTTTCTTCTTTCAAAATTTTTTAGTGTAGTTGATTTCATAATGCAAATGGTGTTAAATAATTAAATTCAGCTTCTCTTGTGACCAATAATTATTTGCATGGAACAAGCAACAGCCAAGTGATTAGGCGTGTGTTATAGAATAATTAGTTTTTGTTTACTTGCCAAAAATATTAGACAAATTACATTCTGGAGTCAGGTGGGTAGCAGTTGGCCAGCAGGTGTATCTCAGATGCTCAGATTCCAACTTGTTTGCCAGTAGCTTATTTTTGATATTATCATTAATTACTATTATTTACTAGGTACTTACAAAACATTTTATATAGATTACAGGAATATTCATCATAGAAGTCCATTTTCAGAGCCTAAAGCCATTTAGTATAGAGCAAACTCAAGCCTGTCTCCAAATCTTGTTCTTTTTCCGGTCTGCAATGGTTTCTACCCCTGCTTTGTATTATTAAAAGAATTTAAAGAAAAGCTCTAATATAAAAGTATTGCTTAATCTGACCTTTAATTGGCAACTCAAAAGTAAGAAATGAATGCTTTTTCTTAGCTGAGTTGGGTTATTTTACAATTGAAGTTTCTAACCAGAAATTAAGTGATTTTGGTTGTTGCTTGGGATAGAAATTAAGGCTTTGAATCTAATTGCTGCTATTAGTATTTTATACTTTAAAAGGAAAATAAGTATGTGTGGTATATTACATGTGGTTATTTTTATAGTTCACATTGATACAAGCTCAGAAGGGTCATCTCAGAGTTCACTCTCTCCTGTACACATTGGTGGAAACCATTTGATCACTACAGGTGTGCCAAGGCGAAGTAAAAGAATTGCAGGCAAAAAAGTTTGCAGGTAATTTATCCAGGATATTTTGTTTTCATTGGATAAATATTTGGTGTACATGTAGTTAATAAAATGTTTCATCTTTCTATCAAGAACCATATTTGAGTCACAATTTTTTTAAATTCCTTCTCCCTTTATAGTCTTAGTAATCAATTGCCTTTTCAGTACCCACCAGAGAAAAATTACTAATTTGAGTCCACTTTGCTTGCTTAAAATCCTGTTTTATGTTGATGGTGTAATTTTAAAATTTCCTGTTAGAGGCTGGGCATGGTGGCTCATGCCTGTAATCCCAGCTCTTCGGGAGGCCAGGGCAGGTGGAGTGCTTGAGCTCAGGAGTTCAAGACCAGCCTGGACAACATGGCCAAACCTCATCTCTACTGAAAAGTACCAAAATTAGCCAGGTATGGTGGCACACACCTGTAGTCCCAGCTACCTGGGAGGCTGAGGTGAGAGGATCATCTGAGCCCAGGAATGTCAAGGGTACAGTGAGCTGTGATCATGCCATTGTACTCCGGCCTGGGTCAGACAGTGAGACTCTGTCTCAAAATAAAATTGTTAGGTTAAAAAACTAGTCTATTCTAATGATCCTGATTTATAACTGACTAAATAACTTTTAAGATTAGCAGATTATTTTTATGTGCAAATACAATGTGTTCATATATAGTATCTTAAAGTTGAATTAGTTTTAAAGAATTACTTCTCTGCCCAATTATTATCAGTATGACTTGCTGTGGACCCTTTCTGAAATTTCATATTTCAGGTATTTTTCTCTGGTGTTTATGTTATAAACTGACATTTTAAATTCTACTTCTTCTAGAGTGGAATCAGGAAAAGCAGGGTGCTTTTCTCCTAAAATCAGCCATAAAGAAAAGGTTCGAAGATCTCTTCGTTTGAAATTCAATCTAGGGAAAAATAGCAGAGATGTAGTAAGTTTCTTACCATTTTATTGATCTTTATATTAGCGTAACACTAAACTTGATACTAAAAAACACTCATAACTCTGCCTTTCTTCCAGTGAGTATCTCATTCTGTTCTTTTTATACAAAACTCTTAAACTTGAGTTGATAACAAATTTCTTTGCATTGGAGTGCTCAAAGCTTAGTCCTTGGACTTTATTTTTTCCCTCCACTCACTCAAAGTGATCATCAGTTTTAAACATTACATACAGATTGAGTAGCCCTTATCCAGGATGCTTGAGAACAGAGTGTTTCAGATTTCCCATTTTTAGGGGGGTTTTGGAATATTTACATTATTCTTACCAGCTCAACATGTCTAATCTGAAAATCTGAAATGCTCCAGTGAGCATTTTCTTTGAGCATCACATCAAATGTGTAAAAGCTTTGGATTTTGGAGCATCTAGAATTTTGGCTTTTCAGATTTGGAAAGCCCAACCTGTGTTTACTTAAAACTTCCAAGTTTATGTTCTCTGGTCCCACATATTCTTTTGAACAACTTGGCTGTTTCTTAACATCTGTTTTTTTGACTCTTCTACTTGGATGTCTAATCCAATATGCATTTCAAATGTAACCTGTCCCGGGCCGGGCGCGGTGGCTCAAGCCTGTAATCCCAGCACTTTGGGAGGCCGAGGCGGGTGGATCACGAGGTCGAGAGATCGAGACCATCCTGGTCAACATGGTGAAACCCCGTCTCTACTAAAAATACAAAAAATTAGCTGGGCGTGGTGGCGCATGCCTGTAATCCCAGCTACTCAGGAGGCTGAGGCAGGAGAATTGCCTGAACCCAGGAAGCGGAGGTTGCAGTGAGCCGAGATTGCGCCATTGCACTCCAGCCTGGGTAACAAGAGCGAAACTCCGTCTCAAAAAAAAAAATGTAACCTGTCCCTCGCAGATGCATTTCTTTGCTGCAGCTATCCCCTGCACCAAACAACACTGTTACCTGTGGTTTTCCCTCTCAGTTATGGCAGTAGTTCTTCCAGTCACTTAAGCCAAAAACCATGGTCACATCCTTGATTCCTCACTTCCTCTGATACACCGTGTCTAATCCATTAGAAAATCTTGTCTAACTTCTGATTTTAGAGTATCTCCAAACTGACTGATTCTCACTGTTAACTGCTTTTCCCACTTTGTCTAAGTTCTGTCATCTCAGCTGGATGACTCTAGTAAGCTCCTACTAATAGTTCTACCTTCTCCTACCCTTGCTGCAGTACTGAAGCTGAAGTTGCTCTTTTAAAATCTGTTAGGTTATGTAGTTCTCTGCTCAGAACTCTTCAGTGACTCCTCATTTCACTCTGAATAAAAGCCAGCGTTCTCACAGGGACCTGCAGTACCTCACTTGATGTGTTCTCAGGCTGCATTTCTGCTCTCTCCTCCAGTCCCCCTTGCTTACTCTGTTCCAGTCTCAGAGACGGCACTGGCATTCTGCTCTTTCTGTAATGTTCTTCCTCCTTAAATCGTCATGGCTCTCGCCCTTGTTTTACTCACAAATCATCTTCTCATCACCCTATTTTAAATTAAACTTCCACTCTTCACTATTCCATATGCTTTTTACCCTGTTTTACTTTTCTCCATAGCACTTTTCACCTTGTATTTTATATTTATTCAATATAATTTACTGTTTATCTTATTTAAATCTAAATTTCCCCATCTAGATAGAATGTAAAATTCCATAAGGGTAAGATTTTGATCTAGGTACCTGCTGCCCCAGCTATTTGTGAACAGGCCCTAGGACAGTCAGAACACACACAAATATTTTTTAAATTAATGAATATGTGAGACTGTTTTAAAAATAGATAATAAAATATCAACTAATAGCCAAATCAAATGATTACAGTTTTCATTAACAGGTAAGAATATTTGTCATTGTTAAAAATTGTTTCTCAATTATATATGCCTTTTAAAATCAGTTAAAGATTTTGATAACTACAAAAAAATTTATTGTCTTTATATTTTGAATTAACTAGGCTTATTTCTTAACAAAAACTTTTTCTGTTTTTCTTTTCTGTACAGAACGGATGTTCTGGTGTCAGTAGATACGAAAGTGTTGGTCGGCGACTTGCAAATCAACAGAGTTTAAAAAACAGAATTGAATCTGTAAAAACTGGTTTGCTTTTTAGTCCAGATGTTGATGAAAAGTTACCAAAGAAAGGTACATTTGCATACTACTGTTAGAGTTTTACCTAAAAAGTCTGCTTTGGTTGCTTTTTTAGTGGTAAAATACATTAATTAATTTACTGTTCTAGAGATTAAAAGTTCATATTTGAATAGTGAAAATATTCGAATTGGCAATTATATTTTTAATCAACAATTGGGAAATGCTTGTACATGTAAATATGAAAATGTTTGACATTCTTATGTTAAAAATTATATAACAAATACTTTATTAGAATTAAATGCTTAGTTATTTGCCATGTGCTTGGATAATATTTCAAAATAAGGTCAAATACAAAGGATTAAGCACTGAACTACTTTATTTTAGGTTCAGAAAAGATCAGTAAGTCTGAGGAAAACTTACTAACTCCAGAGCGACTAGTTGGAACAAATTACCGGATGTCTTGGACAGGACCTAATAATTCAAGTTTTCAAGAAGTAGATGCAAATGAGGCTTCTTCAATGGTGGAAAATCTTGAGGTAGAAAACTCTTTGGAGCATGATGATATGGTTGAAAAGTCACTTGCTACTTCATGTGAAATAACCCCTTCCAATTTACACAATAAGCATAATAGCAACATAACAGGAAGCTCTCTTGGTGAGGATGAAAATAATGTGACCAAAGAGACTTTGGTGAAAGTTCAGAAAGCATTTTGTGAGTCTGGAAGTAATCTTCATGCATTGATGAATCACAGGCAGTCATCAGTAACTAACGTGGGGAAAGTAAAATTAACTGAACGGTCTTATGTACAAGATAGCCCAGAGGAAAATCTATTTGAAACTAATGATTTGACTGTAGTAGAATCAAAGGAGAAATATGAACACCACACTGGTAAAGGTGAAAAATGTTTTTCAGAGAGAGACTTTTCACCCCTTCAAACTCAAACATTTGATAGAGAAGCAACTATAAAATGTTATTCAACTCAGATGAAGATGGAACATGAAAAAGATGTTCATTCAAATATGCCAAAAGATTATTTAAGCAAGCAGGAATTTCCCAGTGATGAACAAATAAAGAAACAGCAGTCCCCAAAGGAAAAACTAAATGATAAACTAAAGGAGAATGAGAATATGATTGAAGATAACTTACCGAAGTGTGCAGCACGTAGCAAGGACGAGGCTAGATCCTCTTTGTCACAGCAGAGTACATGTGTTACAACAAACTTGTCAAAATCTAGGCCCGTGAGAATTGCTAAACAGCAGTCATTGGAAACACGTGAGAAAACGGTTTCTGAAAGTTTACAAATGACTGAACATAGAAAGGTTTCCGATCACATACAGTGGTTTAACAAGCTTTCTTTAAATGAACCAAACAGAACAAAAGTCAAGTCACCTCTTAAGTTTCAGCGTACTCCCGTTCGTCAGTCTGTCAGAAGAATTAATTCTTTGTTGGAGTATAGCAGACAACCTATAAGGCATAAATTGGCGAGTCTTGGTGATACAGCTTCTCCTTTGGTCAAATCAGTGAGCTGTGATGGTGCTCTTTCCTGTTGTATGGAAAGCACATCAAAAGATTCCTCTGTTTCATGTATCAGATCAGGTCCTAAAGAACAGAAGTCCCTGTCATGTGAAGAGTCAAATATTGATACAATTTCAAAGTCAAACATAGAGTTACCGTCGAAATCTTTCTTAAAGGTGAAGCACCCAGATTCGTTGAATGCTTCTCTTGGGTCTACTACAGTTTGTAAACAGAAGATGTTATCTGATGGCCACGTTAAGGTTCCCTTAGATGATCTGACTAATCGTGATATATTAAAACCAGTTGTAAATAACAATATAGGCATTTCTTCTGGGATAAATAACAGTGTCCTTAGGAGACCATCAGAAAGAGAAAGGGTCTGGTACAAAGGTTCTCCAAAACATCCTATTGGGAAAACTCGATTACTACCAACAAGTAAACCTGTAGACCTGTAATTGGTAAATGTTATACTTGTCATTAATGTAAATAAAGTGAGCAGTTGTTGGTATGACTTGCAGGATAATCTACATGTTAGTTGTAGCTCAGGATGATTGTTGCCCAGGCTGGAGTGCAATGGCACAGTGTCCGCTCACTGCAACCTCCTCCTCCCGGGTTCAATTACTTCTTTTTCTTGATGATGGCAGTTTTTAAACTTTAATTTTATTGTGATCTCTCAAAGCAGAGGTTAGACTTTACCTTTCTAAAGAAATTGTTGACTGGATTTGTAATAAGTTAATTTTTGAAAATGACATATTTTTGTGTGATAGGAAGAATGGAGTAAGTTGTGCTTACTTCCTCCAAGTCAGATAAGATTTCTAAAATAAATAAATTTCTAGCTTGTAAAGGGTAGAGAGAAACCCTGCAAATCTTACGTCTGGAATTCTATTATTGTTTGTTGTCCTTGCCAAAATCCCTAGAAATTAATTTGCTTCAATAGCATCCTAATTCTCTATTTTTATTTAGGGCAGAATAATTTGGTTCATATTGCCTGTAGTTGTACCACGTGTTCACGTGAACTAAGAACAATGGCTAAGGCAGAATAATGACTAAAGTATGTTCATATGTTATGATGTGGAAATAATTGATAACTTTTAAGCCATACTGTGTTTTTAAAGATAATTTGCACAAATACATTTGTGTCTGTTTTGTCCAATATAGATTTGGCATTTATTAATCTTGAAAAAAATTAATCAAGGTGATTTCTTATATATAGATGCTTGATTTTGGAATTTGGAATAGTAGATGTACCTCTTCACCTTTTTTAATTGGATAAAAACCTATGATGATTTTGTCCTGTGTGTGTTATTTATTTAGCATAGACATTAAAGATACCTTTCTGGAAAATGACTTGACTGAGGCTTTCATGAAATTCAAAGTGCCATTTAGAACTTGCACCAAATTATCAAGCAAATCTGTCCAAATATATACTTTAAATTATTACAAATTACACATCTTTGAGGAAACAATATTATGAACAATACAACATATTCTCTAGGTTGTAGAGGAATCAATAAGCAGACAGAATTAACCACTAAAGATAGTTTCTCAGATTGGTTATTAGAATGCCATGTTTAGATGTTGGAGCAGATTAGAGCAGCATCACATGCCACTCGGAGCAACCAGACTTACAGCGTAAGTATTTACGAGGAATTTCAAATCATCTGATGTTTGGTTGGTTAGGTTGTACTTGATGACAATACATCCATTTTATTTCAAAGCTATTTCCTGTTTTGTATTTATTACCTGGCAGTCATTCCTTTCTCAGAACTTGTATTTGACTTACATAAAATGTAAAATATTCGTAGATAAAAGCTTGTTGATATCAAATAGGGTTGGTAGATGTTTATGGTATTTCTAATTGTAAGTAGAGACAAAATAGTCATATGGTCAGATATATGTTGTCTGTTTTAAACAATTTTTTTTTTTGAAACTGAGTCTTGCTCTGTCGCCCAGGCTGTAGTGCAATGGTGTGGTCTCAACTCACTGCAACTTCCACCTTCCCGGTTCAAGCAATTCTCCTGCCTCACCCTCCCAAGTAGCTGGGATTAATAGGCTCCCGCCAGCACGCCCAGCTAATTTTTGTGTTTTTAGTAGAGGTGACGTTTCACCATGTTGGCCAGGCTGGCCTCGAATTCCTGACCTTGTGATCCAGCCACCTCGGCCTCCCAAAGTGTTGGGATTACAGGCATGAGCCACCAGTCCCGGCCTGTTTTAAACAATTTTTAAACTTTAAAAATGTATTAATTTTTTTTTAATATTCATCAAGGGAAGAATGAAATGTTGAATTTGAAGACTAATTCAGTAAGAAGTCATAGGGGTTTAACTGTACATACCACCTGAATTGGCTTTTCTGAGAAATGAATCAATAATGAAGATTGTCTGTTTAAAAAAAAAAAATACCACATTTGACTACCATTTTAGTTAGCTGAAAGCTGCAATACAAAGTATTACGGGAAAATCACGGTGAATAGCTTGAAGATAGGGTAATTGGGGAGTCGTAAAAGTTTTGTTTTAGGCTTGGTTTAATGTTTATTTTTTCTTATACAAATTAGAGATAATGTTGCTAACTTCATGGGATATTTGAGGACATGATATAAATATTCAAAGTTAAAAGTGGACATGTGCAGTAACCTCATGGGTTCTTTTCACTTTGTCTTATACATGTAAATAAAAGATCTAATATTAATTTGGTTACCTACTAAGCAACAAACAAATATGTAGAACTTAACTGGCCACATTCTATAATATGATCACTAAGAATTTAATGTAGGATTTTAATAATCATGTTTTTCTTACTTGTGGCAGAATTTGGACCTTAATTTTGTAATCTCTTAATGTTTTATTTTTGAAATACTAAATTTCTGATGAAAATAGGCATTTTGATGTATAAGCCGTAAATTACAGTGACTTCATTTTTTTTTCCAACGATAAAATGATAACAAGGAAGAGTACTAAAGTAAAATTCAGAAATGAAAAAAGTCTATGCATCAGTATAAAATACTCCAGCATGGACAGTGAGCCTGGAGCTATTTAACAGATAATGTTAGTCCTGTTGATTTAGCATGCATTGAAACAAAAAACAAGCAGAAGAGCATCCATGGAAGAAAAGTCACTGAGAAAGAGGCTTGGCTTCAAAATGAAAGGCCATGTGTCTCATAAATGATTTTTTCCAGCCTCTATTCATTGCATAAAATTGCTGTAGATGATAATGGGTTTGCTGTCTAGAGCTAAGATAGAACTGGATTCTACATCAGATTTCTTATTGTCAGACCCTAGGTACTTGACTCATCCTCTATCTTGATGAAATTTGCAGTGCTATATTTATTGTATGGCTTTACGTTTCGATTTTAGTATTTGAACAAACTTTAATGCTCAAGATTGCACGTAGTAGGTGCTCCATAAACCCTTATTTAAGAATCTGGGACTACCTGGACGTACTTCTGCAGTATGCTGGCAGTATGGTTTCTCTTCAGGCCAAAGTGGAATTTTACTTGATGGTTTTTTTAAACAAAAGTTTTAAGATAAACTTTTTGTGTGTGTGGAATTTTAGAAATAACACTTAGAGCTACTATTTCTACAGATTTTCAAGTTTATAACTTTAAGTTTCTAGCTTCTGGTATTAAATATAGTTTTCCTGCTCAGTAAGAGGCCCCTCAGAGCAGTATGTACCTTATTAGCCACAATTAAAAGTTCTTAGGACTTCATCTTTTCTTCGTCACTCTACCAATCATTGGCGCTTTCTCTTGAAACGAAAAGACTTTAAAACAAACAAAACAAAACAAAACCAAAAAAACGGAAAACCCTGTTCTTGAAGTTGGCAAAATTAAAGGTGTGCTATAGTGGTGACCTGGCACATTGTAACTGAAATGAGAAAGGAGGCGAATGACTTCCACAGAGGTCGGTGAAGGAAGAGGCTCTCTAGGAAATTCCATGGTCAAGAGGTTTGTATGCAGAATGCGTGGGCTGAAACGCCGGGCGGCTCCTTGGTGGGAGGCGCACTTCATCTGGGATGCAGGCTGAGGCATCCTGACGAGACCACTTCCACCTGCTGGAGGAGGGGCTGGGGCGGAGCTAAGATGCGGAGGAAGGTGACGCACGAGCTCTCCAGTTCGCCCGCTCCAGGCCTGACCCCACCGAGGCCCGTACCGCAGTAGGATCCTCGGGCTGCCGCTCGGTGAGTACAGCTTTGATGTCGCCTCGGCCGCCTGCCGCCAGCCCGAGATTTGGTATCATCGCCAGTGGGGGAGGGCGTACTGCTAAAATCCTTGAGATGGAGGCTGGGGTCAAAGGATGGGTGGGGGATTCGAATGTTTGGCTGTCCGTAAGGGGAAGGGAGTACCGAGGGAGACTGGGTAGTTCGCCAAATCAGAGCGGCGTTGGCTAGCGTGGAGGTCAAACAGACCTCCTGCATTCAGAGTGGACAAGGGAAAGATGGAGATGGAGAGCCCCGCGCCTGCCTCCAGCCTTTTCCATCACAACTGTAGATTTTGCTGTTAAACAGCTACTGAGCTCTTTGGAGAGCGAGGTTTTATATCTAGCGGCTAGAAAGGGCCTTTGCAGAAAAAGAAATGGCGGAATATTTTTTTTCAGTAAAGGAAATCCACGATTTTGCCTCCCACCTCTCCGTTCCCCATCCCCAGCAGAAGAATGATTAAAAGGAGGGTTTGCGCTGGGCGCGGTGGCTTACGCCTGTATCCCAGCTCTTTGGGAGGCTGAGGCGGGTGGATCACCTGAGGTCAGGAGTTCGAGATCAGCCTGACCAGCATGGTGAAACCCTGTCTCTATTAAAAATACAAAGAGTAGCGGGGGGTGTTTGCGGACGCCTATAATCCCAGCTACTCGGGAGGCTGAGGCAGGAGAATCGTTTGAACCTGGGAGGCGGAGGTTGCAGTGAGCCGAGGTCTTACCACTGCACTCGAGCCTGAGCGACAGAGCGGTACTCCATCTCAAGAAAAAAAAAAAAAAAAAAAAAAAAAAGGAGGGTTTCCAAGGCTGCTGCCTGAAGAATCCGTCCAAATAGGTTAAGCAGCAAGGATAATGTTCCCTTGTTTTGCAGACATAACCATAGAAGCCAACATTTAGGACAGGTTGACCCTCCCACCCCCAGGCTAGTTTTTTCCCTCTCCGCACTGCCTGCCCAGATTCTAACCTCCATAGCAATATAGGGGCTCGTACTGTGCCTGGCACTCTTACCAGGTATTTGCACACATCCTCCCAACAACCCTGTAAGGTAAATGCTTTTATTATCCCCGTTTTGCAGAGAAGGAAACTGAGGGACTTGCCCACGATCACTGAGCATGTTGCTAAGCAAACATACCTCAATCTGCCCCAGTAGATTGCAGGGTGGGATCTAAGCAACGTGCATTTTCATTCCTTTCAGGATCTCAAACGTGCTGGATGTCTGCTAAGCTAAAACGTTTTCCTGTCATCACTCGCAATCTTCCTCTGCTGCTTTACCATTTGTGTCTTCCTGACTCCCTCCTGTTAGCCTTTTCTTCCCTGAGACTGGGAAAACTCAAGATGCCACTATCTGTTTCTCAAAATTGAAGCAAGTTTTGGTCTATTTGTTTTAATAAGAGAGGGAGAGGGTGGTGAAGTTAGGAGTAATGCAGAACTTTCAGGGAACTACAAGGAGGATAAACATTTTGAGTGAGAACCACCATTCCAGCCTAGCTTTTCTAAGAAACAAACAGAGGGAATTGGATACCCACAACTGTTTTGTTTCATACCTTTCTGCAATAATGTCCTGCCTAGCATGGAGACTTAAGACAAAAGCAACCCTCTAAGGATTTTTTATTACAGTCTCCTTCTGGGGGGTCTTTGAACCACAACCTGGAGTGGTTGCATCATCATAATTGTATTATCACAACTGCCAATTGTAGCCAATTAGTATACATTTGGTCCTTAATCTGCAGGTTAAAAATGGTCTCCAGGATGGTCCTTACCATGCTATCTGGCCTACTGTTTTTGCTGGGATCTGGATGGACTCCAACATTTGCTTACAGCCCCCGGACCCCTGACAGGGTCTCAGAAACAGATATCCAGAGGCTGCTTCATGGCGTTATGGAGCAACTGGGCATTGCCAGGCCCCGCGTGGAATATCCAGCTCACCAGGCCATGAATCTCGTGGGCCCACAGAGCATCGAAGGTATTTACTGTGTTCTGATGGTTTGAAGTTTGTGTTGGCATTTTAAATAATATATTTGCACACTTCTCACAACAACCTTATAAGTAGATGCTTTTATTATCCCATTTTTCAGAGAAGGAAGCTAATTTTTAAGAAACTCTACTTTCTCATGGGGTTCTTTTCTTCTTCTACACAGTTTCTACATAATTACAAATGCACACCCACATGAGAATATGAGTCCAGTGAGAGCAGAGACCTTATCTATCTGATACACAGCTGTAGCCCTAGTACCTAGCACAATGTCTGGTACATAATAGGTGCTCAATTAATGTTTGTTGAATGAATGAAGGAGCATCTAGTGTTATTGCTAAAGAAAGATTAGAACTCAGACGTGATGTTTTCTCCACATGGCTGATCTTAGGGAAATTGTGTCATTAGGTAGCTGCTTTCTGAGTTAATGCCAGCCAGTACTTGAAAAAGAGATTCAACATGTAGAACCTACAGGATCTGACTTGATTCCTACAAATCACTCCAGTATACCCAGGAGGAGCCAAAAGAGGTATTGACATTACGAGAGTATGCTGAAAGCTTTTGAAAATATTTTAAAATCTAACAATTTTATTAAATAATAAATTAAGAATAATTAAATTCTTTTAAGGTGGCAAGACCATTTCCCCCCAGAAGTTTTCCAGGTTTCTGGTTGTGGTCATAACACTTATATTAAAAAGCAGTACTTCATTGGTTTGTGGTTTAATGATTTGTTTCTAAAGAGAATTTAGCTCCTATACACTGGTGGTGCTGCATAGGTTCCTTATTTCCATGCCTTGCTTTTTATCCTCTGATTCTGAATGATCTCCTTCACTAAGGCAGAATCCTAAAGAAGCGGCATGGTTAACTTAAGTGAAATGCAAGGGAGCGTTTCCTTGAAGTTCAGGGATTTGCCATGCAGTGGGTCCGAAGGAAAATGAGATTTTTATCTCCAAAAACATACCAAGCAAATGCTCTTTGTTCCCTGCAGATTGATTATGCATTATTTTGCCTGAGTCTGTGATTTTCTAAAAATGCTGTCTGCCCCAGGGTTCTGTGAATGCCAGGAATATTGTTAACATGTAATTCTCATTTTTATCTTGTTACCCATAGAATTAAGCCATTGAGTAAAACTAATTCTGTGAGATTATGGTTTGTTTAGGTTGACATTTGATTTCAAAAGTGGATTAACATAAATTAGTTGAATCAGCAAGCATGCAAACCTGGCACATGGCTTGAATTAGAACAAATCTGACAGAGCTTCCTGTCATCCCTTTTGGGGAGAATCTCAATTCTTCTCAGCATCTGTCACCTGTTGCTTCAAACACACCTATCTATTTCAGGCCAGCTCTTTTGAGATAAACAATAAATATCTACCTTTTTAAGGCAGGAAGTGCTTGATTATTCACCTAAGCTGTTGTCATGGAGAAGGCTCTCCGAGTGTCCACTAATACCTGAGGCCTGATCGGTTGTGCTAGAAAAGAAACAGCCACTCCTGGGGCATCCAAAGCCTGTGTTTATCCGGAGACTCCATTCTCTCAGTATCCAAGAATCTACTACCCATGATATATTAGGCAGTAGGCAGGAGCTGGTATAGCTTTGCCCTAAAGATTCATGGTCTGAGGGTGGAGAGGAAAGTAGGGATACACATCAAAAGTTTCGACGGTATATCCACGGCAAGTGTTTTGATAGGTGTACACACAAGCTGCTACCATGAAGCAAAGAGAAGGGGTAATTTAATCTGCTCAGGAGTGGATGGGATGGCTATAAGGGAATGCTGCTTTGAAGAAGCTACATTTGACCTGGGTATTGAAGATTGAGTAAGAATTCATCAGAGAACTCTGGAGGTCCATAGTAAAGGCATGGAGGTACAACTATTATGGAGGTACATAGTTCATCAGAGAACTATGGAGGTACAACTATTATGTATCCACAAAATCTAAAAGAAAATAAAAGGCATAGAGATATAAAAGATCACGGATTAGGGCAGTTCAGAATTTAAAACTCTGTTTCCCTTATTACCCTGGAAATAATGTGCTAACATAGCAAGCTTAAGTCTCCCCTATCTGTCTGTGGAAGGGATGAATACTGACTTGAATCTTAGTTTTCTATTACTGTGTAACAAATTACCACAAACTGAGCAGTCTGACATGGCACTCATTTATTTTTTTGAGTTTTCCACTGCTCTGGAGTTTCGTGTGGGTTGGAGTTCAGGTGCTGACCAGAAACAGCTTGGGTCCTCTTCCAAGCTCGTTAAGGCTGCCGGCAGAATTCCCTTTGAATTCTATTGGGGGACTAAGTTCCCGTTCTCTTGCTGGCTATTGGCCAACCAAGGCCCCCCTCAGCTCTTAGAGGCTGCCTCAGGTTGTAAGCCTTCTCATAGCCAGAAGGAGAGTATCTCTCTAGTCTTCTGCTGATAATATGATCTCTTTAGCCTTCTGATTATATATAATATGAGTGACTATCCCATGACCGTTTTCGTGTAACAAGGGACTGATACCTCATTATACTCCCAGCAGGTAGGAATCTTGGGAGTCATCCTAGAATTGTCCACTATAGCTAGGATGAAAACTAACAGAATAGTCCAAAGATGGTTGGGGCAAAAGCGACAAAATAAGAAGCCCAGGTTTTTCTCAGTCTGGGACCTTGGCATTTAATTTGTTGTGTGGTCTGATCATTTATTCATGTGAGTGAGTGATTGTTTCACATCATCCATTGATTTCCACTGGCTTTGCTCACACTCCCTCATGCTAATTCCCTCTGACAGACTCATGGAGTATCTTCCATACACTTCCAACATTGATTTTAGGATTTTATGATGAAGAACCAAGTTGGAAAAGTTTATTTTTAACTGTTACAGAAAGAATATACCTACTATAGTATCATATTGTATGGTAATACTGTATTCTGGTGTGAATTTCAACATAGATTTAACATGGTGATTATGAGCACAAACTATTGCCAAAGACACCTGAATTTGAATGCCAGCTTCATACTGTATTTTGTTGTGAATTTCAACACTCATTAACATGGGGATTATGAGCACAAACCATTGCCAGAGACACCCAAATTCAAATGCCAGTTTCATTCATTACTGATGTGACCTTGGGCAAATTGCTTAACTCCTACAAGCTTCTGTTCAGCTTAGGGGTAGGATTTAAATTCACTTACCTGTAAGCAGGTACTCTTCCAGTCCAGAGAAGCAAAAACAAAGTTTGAGCATGGGTAACTGCACTCCCATGAAGTCATTTCTAAAAGAATCATCATCATCACTTTAGGTAATTACTGGACGTTAAGTTCGTTGCAGGCTGAGTTGTTCACTACCCAACACATGGTACTTAGAAGACAAAGATCTGTCTTATTTTGTCTTCAATAAATTAATCATATCATCAATGGATTTTAACAAATGTGTATGTTTGCTCTCAAATATAGAATTCTAAATTGGCCTTTTCATATAGGAATATAGTATCAGTATAAATTACTGTTAGGTCAGTGAGGTATCATATAACCCATGAAAAAAGATTTTCTTCTTTGATTCCATATCTCTTCTCGTTACTGTACCATTTTTCTGCTGCCTTTTGCAGCAACGTTTCCTCACATGCTGATTGTCCTTCTTCACCTCTCATTCTCTCCTGGTCCCCTGTAGCCTACTGTTCTCGCCACTCATTCCTCAAACCCACTAGTATTTACTGAGTGCCAGGTGCCGTTTTAGGTCCTGAGGAAATAAACGTGAAATCAAAGTAGCAGGCGAGGAACCACAGTCCTTAAATAAACAAATTTCCTTTTTTTCTTCACCCATTTCTTAGTTCATTTGCAGGTTTCTCTGGCTCCTCTAAAGAGGCCTTTAAATGTTAAGTTCTCCACGGCTCAGTGCTGGGTCCACTTCTCTTATTTCCCTCAATTCTCTATCTACTTGATCGCAGTCATTCTCTTGACTCTCAATCCATTTTTTTTGGCTGGTGACTCCAGTGTTTGTATTCCAGCCCATGTTGAGAAATGCTGAGTATATGATACAATACATTGTTTGCTAAGAAGAACGATAGCAAGGAAAACCTGGTTGCCCCCCCTCCTCACGCCATGTGGAAAACTGCTTGGGGCATTCTAAAGTAGCAGACAGTAAATGTATATCAGACACAGGTTAAAACAATTCTTTAAGCGCGGGATATGTGATTCTGCCCCCGAGGCTCCCTCGTGGAGAATTCTTTCTGGTTTGTCCTTGATCAGTGGTGAGCAGGCACAGCTGCCTACCTAGTTTATCTTGGTTCTATGAGAAAACACAGGACACCCGCTGTTAATAATAATCACCTGTTCAGAGAGAATAAATACGTGGGTCAGAGACTGCGTGAGGCCCTCGGCCCGAAAGGCTGTTGGTCTTTGAGGCTCTGAGCTCGGAAGCCTGTTGGTCCCTGGATAGTCCTTCTTTGCTGTTCTATCTGGGTGTCTGCTTTTTAATGCCTTCAGTGCCGCGTGGGTGGGGGGTCTCTATGGCTGAGCTGGTCTCAGTAAGCCCACACTTCTTTCTTGTATATCCAGAGGCTTAAACTAATTGCTAATTGCCAGGTCTCAATCCTCATTTCTCTAATACCACCTTCCCCAACCTGTTAATGTTCGTCTTTTCCATCTAAATAGTGCCGCTGCTTAGCCATATAGGCACACTAAATACTTAGAATAATCCTTGATTTTCTGCATCACACTTCATGCCTCAATTTTAAGTAATATGTTTCATTTATGTCTCTAAAATATGTGTGTAGTTTGCCTGTCTGCTTCTCCCTAGCACTGCTCCAGACACCCTGGTCCAAGATTCCATCGTGTCTGGCATGGAGTTTTGAAATCACTTCCTAACTCATCTCCCTGCTTCTATTCTCGATCTCTTTCCAATTGTTCTTCACTGGAAGGGCAGAGTTTAACTTCCAAAGTTTAAACCATGTTAGTGTCACCTCCATAGTTACAGTTCCACTGGTGGCTTCCCATTGCACCCTGAATAAAAATAACCC